GCAACTAGAAGGATGTGCAGCTATGACATACAACTATCTACTGGGGCTTTGGGGGAAAAATAAATAAATAAATAAATAAATTTAAAAAAAAAAAGAACCCATTACTCTACCTCCCAGGTTCTGAGCTCCATACAAGTAAGTTAACCAGACCTTCAACTTTCTTACAAGAAATTCATACATGAGAATTCCTCTATACCTGGGTTTTAGCTGCCTACCCATCACAACCAATGTCACACATGGACCACATACCTGAGAAAGATTAGTAATACTCTGGCTTGAAAATGACAAGCCAGCTGTGCTGATACTCATTATGAGTTATGACCATACCTTTGGAACTACTGTTCGGCCCTGGAACTCTCTGGGTGAATGGGAGCTGGGGGAGAAAGCAGACAAGGCTGCTTCGTGTCAACATGTAGCACACAGAGGAGTTATGAGCACACTGAAACAGCGTCTAGGGCCCATGGAAACCTGCGCCCCCCTGGGACAAACCTCTTCCCTACGGAGCAGCTTCTGAAGGAACATCTATGACCAGAAAGGTCAGAAATACTGACTCAGACCACTTTACAGTCATCACTGATTAAAGCAGGCTAGAAAACCATCCAGAGTGGCCATCTGTTCAGCAAAGGAGGTTTGGCAAATAGACTTATGAATACCCTAGTCCAAAAGGAAAGCGTAGAAACAGACACACCGAGCTGCCCAGCAGCTGAGGGGAGGATGGCCTGCATCACGTGTTGGATTTTAAACTACAGGGTGACTGGGCAGACACACATCACAGCTGCCATTTCGACTGCAACCTGCCTCACGGACAGGAGTGAGTTCTCCTACTTACGTCAAAGGGCGCTGAACTCGCGGGGGCATTCTGGCGACACGGCTCCCTGAAGCAGTCACTGAAAGGAAGCAGAAGACCCATGGCGATGATCCGGGAGCAAAACTTCTCCGCTTCTTCCGGGGGCCCGTTCTCCTGCTGGCTGAACAGCTTCTCCAGCAAAGTTCGCCCTGCGGAGGAAACACAGTCGTTAGAGGGAGCGCGGGCAGATCAGCTGGCTCAGAACTCTCCAGAGGAGAGAAGCCAGGTGCACACAGCCAGTGAGCAAGGCCGTCGCCAAGGCTACTGACAGGCGCGGAAGCAGCCTCTCAAACTCAGAAAACTGCAGTCTGAGGCCTGGGACCCCACAAGGGAAAGGGTAGCTCTGGTTTGCTCTTCCCTCCCCCAAAATACCTCCTGCCCCAAAAGAGGATGCGCCCCGCTGTGGGCCACACATCTTCCATCTGAAGCAGCACCCCAGCCTCCTAGATTTCATTGGTAATCTTCCTTCCTCTCTTGTCGACTCTGCTGAGGGCTCTCTGAGGAAGCAGCGAGTGACCACCATGTGGGCTAGGACATGTCTGGGACATTCGCGGTCTCAGGCATGGCGATGGAGAGGGCCAGGGAATGAGGAGACAGGGAGGCAGGCAAAGGCGCCAACTATGAGCACGGAAGAGAGCTGGCCAGCAAAATAAGTCACCTGAAGAGCAAAGTGAGAGAGAGAAACAATGTTCTCACACACCTCAGAACCATAACTCTAGGGTGGGTCCCAACCTCAGTGTTTTACAATTTCCCTACAAGAGACAAGAGAAGAGAGGCACAAGGAGGAGAGGACACCAGCTGAGGACCCCAGAGGGCCCGGGCCACCCAGTCCGGGGGTCTCAACTCTGGCTGCTCCTCGACTCCCCTGGGGAGAAGAGGGTGACAGGAAGCAGGATTGGGCATCAGGATGTTACTGGTGACCCAGCGGTTCTCACGTCAGCCAGAGCTGAGAGCCACAGGTCTGGTCCCTCCGCCATTTCTTAATTTTATTTATTTATTTTTCTCCCAAAGCCCCAGTAGATAGTTGTATGTCATAGCTGCACATCCTTCTAGTTGCTGTATGTGGGACGCGGCCTCAGCATGGCCAAAGAAGTGGTGCGTCGGTGTGCGCCCGGGATCCGAACCCGGGCCGCCAGCAGCAGAGCGTGCACACTTAACCGCTAAGCCACAGGGCTGGCCCCCATCCTCCATTTCTGACACCACTCGCGCTCTCCTTTACTTAGCTGGTTCCTGCATTAATCAACTGCAGTAGAAGAAACAGAAAATGTCCAGGGTCCCTTCCAGGGCCACACTGTTCTCTCAAGTTCTTACCCTACTCCTGGCCCTCCCTCTAATTAGCGGATTCATTCTTCAAAGTTGGATGAAAATCATTTTCCAGAATAACCTCTAGTGACCCCCTTCCACACTCTTTGGGCACCTTTCATAGCTCTTCCTGTGTAATTAATTAATTGTGCAATTATTTGTTTAATGTCTACCCTCCTTACTAAAACATACACTCTAACAGCCAGCATGTATCCTGCAAACCTGGCCACCAGCGCAGAAGAAGCATCAATAAACATTTTGAGGATTTCTGAATAAATACAGAGCTATGATTCTGTGACAAAGAGTCATT